CCTCCTCTATTTCTCTCTACATAAAGAAATAACAGAAAAAAGTTACACGTAAAATGAGTTTTACTAGAATTTTAAATTTCAAAATGTTAAATTTCAGCTCTCAACTCAGATCGGATTCAACTCAGATCGGATTCAACTGTACATAAAAATACGGTGGTACTTTGATTATAAGAATACAAAAGACTTCACTTACATTTACACTCTCACGGCTTGGAGGTGTCCACTGAGGGGTAACGACCAAACTGTTACTAGAACCACCAGAAGATGAGTGGAGSTTCTTCTACATTATTTTCTGTGATTCGAGCGRGAGAGTCACTAGCTGGAGAGTTATTTGTGGAGATAGGAGGCTGAAAAATAAAAACGACAGAATAAGGTTATAAAAAATATATCCAATATACCAATCCACTAAAGAACTATGAAAAAGACTAGAAAACTATGAATTCGACAATATTCTTGCGGCCGTGAACAATATCTTCCTAAATCTTAATCCAAACCGTCGTTGAAYATTGCRCCAAAACCGTTGACGCATGCTCAGTACAAAGCAGCCAAGAGGACTGGGGACTACGAAAGAGTGGCGGAGAGCATGTGAACCACAGGCAGCCCAAACAAGGTTCCTGTGTATGGTTTATAAGGGAATATATGGTACTTATGATAAAGTCATGGCAATAAAATGTTTGACTCAACAATTTGCCCTCAAAAATTGGTTCAGTCGTTGCTTTTACTTTATTCTATTCAAAATCTGCTCTGGTAAAGAAGAGCAGATTTTGAAAATCCCACTAAATGGCCTCAAATCGCGCTGAAACTTCACCAGAATACTGAACAAAGTAAAAGCAAGGACTGCAGCAAATTTTGAGGCAAATTGTTGAGCAAAACATTTTATTGTCATGACTTCATCATAACTCCCATACATTCCCTTATRAATCATACACAGCAACCTTGTTTGAACTGCCTGTGTGTGGACCACCAGAAAATTGCACAACTACATATTACATYACCTCGCTGTCCTTGTCGTCATCGAGAAATTTCCTATTAGAGTCTTAAAAAGTTTCCTTTCTTTAAACACAGGCAGAAATTGCATCATTTCTGCTTCGTCTTTAAACAATCCAATAAGCTCCTTGCCGTCAAGACCGTCGGCAGCTGAAAAAAGAAAGGGCCACGATCTGTATTAAAATAAGTACAAAATCATGACATTGAATTCAAAAAGTCAAGCTTACCAAACTTTTCTTTCATCTCGGGTGCAAAATTGTTTTTGACCAACCAGGATTCTAGCTACTTCTGAAGGAGAGAAATCTTTGCTGAACTCCAATCCTTTATTTATTGGCTTCGGTATAGTTTTTCATTGTTTCCAGTTAGGTGGTTCATTTATCTTTTTCAAAATCTGAATGGGCATGAATAGGGTTTTGATCGCCAGATCCGTTGTTTCA